GGGGACGTCATCGGGGACCTCCCGCCCGAGCACGCCGATGACACCCCCATGACAACTCTGATTCATCCGAAATTTGGAGTACGGGGGTTTTCACACACGCTGGGTCTGAATCTTGCAGTGCCGAGATCGTCCGGGCCCCCGAGAACGTCATCGGGGACCTCCCGAGAACACCGGTAGGGTAAAGGCTCCACCGAATCTTTATGTTCTACCCCCTATTTTTCTTCCTCCGTTAGCCGAAATACGCTATAAAGGAATAAAAAACCAACCAATTTATCAGAAAACGTTGTTTAATCTTAAGCCATTACTTACATTTTATATGCATTCCTTCCATTATCAGCTTTGGCTGTCGCAGCTGACCGGGGAAAGTACAATAGTCAACTGAACATACGGTTAAGCGGCGTCGCAACTTTGCATTTTGCAAAGGACCGGATTGCCTCAACGCAAATATAAATACACCGTCGGAATCTAGAAGGTCTACAGATTCAATACCACCCAATGCCAGCCATGTAAGATCATCGGCCGAGTTGATACAGAGCTCTAATTATTCATCTCTGCATATCTCGGAACGGGCTTTTTGCAGATAGAACATAGTGAAAATGACCCTTTGTAGATAGGACATTATGAAAACGACGCGCTGTAGTTAGGACATTGTGAAAACGACGCGCTGTAGATAGAACGTTGTTGTTAGGACGCGTCGATACGGCCTCAATTCATTAAGCATGTCAGGTAAAACAGCGTCTGCATCCGTCGTGTGGTAAATGTGTTTCCCACTTGAATATATTTCAGAGTACAGAGCGTCCTCTTCTCTATTCAACACAGGTTGCAGGAGCATTTTCACAGACTCATATAGAGGAGTGTCAGCATTATTCACCTGAGGGTCAGAACACAATTATATCACTACAAGGCCTCAGGATTTGGATAAAAAATACATAGTAGCATACCAAAAGTAACTTACAAATTTTTCTTTTCCTTTAAAATTTTCAAGGCGAATGCCCGCGGCAAAGGGATAGCCTGAACTCGGTTTGAACGTCGTCGGTGCTGACGGCGAGTCGGCGAGTCGACAGACCTGCCGCAGTAAAACTGCAGAGCATCGATAGACCAGTGCCAGTGGATCCGTAGCCAAAGCATAGTTGAACGTCAGTCAATCTGCATTGACTATCGGCGAATAATCGTCAGATGAGTCGCTAACAGACGCCAGTCAATCGGTTGTTGATTTTTGGCTCAGTTAGACTGAGGACTGTCTGAGACAAGTTTGCCGATTGACAATGGTCTGGTAGACAACCGCGGCTCAGACCTGGCTCAGACGTCCGGGACGAGGGCGCGGCGGCGGGTGAGCGACTGACTTCAGACAAACTTCAGGCAACCGGCCGGGCAAGGGGATGAAGGGGCAGATACGACTCAGACAATATTCAGCCCACTGCCGGCATGGCCAGGGAAGGCGCTCCGACAAGAGTTAGATGTGTTTCAGCTAGTAGCCGCGGTGGCTAGGGCAGGAGTTCAGACAACTCTCAGACAAAGCGCAAGGTGCGCGGTGCGGTGCGCGGGCGCAGGTTGCTGGGGAAGAATTTTCAGAAATAATAGGGGGGAAAATAAGTTTTTCTCGTGTTTATTCACTCTAGCTCGTGGAGATTTAAAGGCAGTGACAGAAATGTGTGTGTATCAACAGACATTTTAAAACAAACACAATGGAGGTCTTTCACAGGAACAATGTCAACTTGATCTGTTACAGAACAATACAATTATGAGAGCACACTGGCTCTAACTGGACTATCTACATGGAAAGGGTATGAGGTGATATATCGTTGAAGAACAGCAAAGGACTGTTGTTCTGTTCGAACAAAAACTTTGATACATCCAAAGAAGACTTGTCCCTGAAATGCATCTTTCACATTAGAAGGTGGGGGTGGGGCAACTCGTCAAAATAAAATCCTGGGGGTAAAATTTGTGTCCGTTTTGCTCCATCTTTCACCGTTTGGGCGCCAGAGTGAGTTTCTCTCACAAAAGTGGCCCAAAAATAAATTTATTAATTTTCGAAAATATTGGATGGTCTCCTAAGGGGTAAACTCGTCAAGGTAGAGCCCTCTGGGCGAAAATGTCGTCCATTTTGCGCTATCTCTAACCGTTTACGCGCTAGAGGGTCTTTTTAGACAAAAATAAGCTAAAAATTGCCATAGTGAACAATGAGATGTAGAAAAGGGCCTAAAAACCGCAAAATAGAAAGGAAACTTTCCCCCACCCCCAAAAAACGTTTTCTAAGCAGAAGGGTGGGTTGTAGTCGCGGTGCTTCACCGTTACATCCCTTTCTCAAGTCTTTGGGGCAAACTCAAAGATGACGGATTTAAGCGGGCTGAAGGCCCGCTACATCATTCGATCATGTTCTTCAGCAATTCGCGTGACAAAAATGGTCGGGCCGCAAGCAGGCCCGGTCTTGTTAGTATTATAGTATTATCTATACTGAAGCATTTATTGGCTGATCAACAGCGAAGCCTATTTACTCCAGTGATGATCAAAAAGTTTTGTGTCTGTCTGTGTGTCTGTCTGTAATCACGATGACTTGAGAACGGGTTGAGCTAGGTACCTGAAATTTTTAGCGTAGCTTCGTAGCATAAAAAGCAAGAACTGTATTGATTTTGAGCCCTCTAGCTTAAAAATTGTCCTGTCACAAAAATCAAAAACGAAAACCCCAAAATATTACCTCTATTTTTTTATTTTTTTTTACATGGTTCTAAGACGTAATTCGTCAAAGTAGAGCCCGTTGGGCCAAAATTATCTTTAACCGTTTAGCCGCCAGAGGGCGATATCTACAGGAAAATGACCTCAAACCATTTTAATGTTGTTTCTCAGATATTTGACAGTCTCTGGTGGGGCAACTCGTCAAAATAAAATCCTGGGGGTAAAATTTGTGTCTTTTGGAGCCAAAGGCCTATCTACGACTCTGCCTCTTGTCCGACTCGGGTGTCAGCGCCGCAGGCCTAGGTAGATGCCAGGCGCGTCGCAGCGTAACAGTGTTTCGTGAGATATCGCGAAGTCTGTTACGCGAGACGTGGTCTGGCGTACATCTACCTAGTTTTCTTTCATTACCTCAGGTCAGTGCTGCAAGTAAACGTAAAGGACTTCTGAAGTCTTCACGCTATGTTTGAAAGTATGAGATGAATGTCGCAGTCCTTCTGGTCCTCAACGTTCAACTTATATAATGAAGACTCTACTTGCATTATTGCATCTGAGTTAAAATGGTATGTTTAGGTTAAAAATATATATGATTGTTTTTAATTTATTACTGTTCAAATTCTCAAGTACTAAAGCACTTCTTTCTTATTTATACCACAGGGCATATTGCTTGAACTAAAAGCAAAGCTACTCTGAAGAAATGCCGTTATGATTAGGAAATAGATGCATGTCGCAGTAACTTTAGGGCTCACCGTTTCAATGTTTGCATGAAGACTGCAGTGGCAGTAATAAAACTTGATTGTTATGGTGAATAAGTGTGTGGTCATGAAAAAAAATAAATCTGTTGTTTACTTGCTTAACTTTTGTCTCATTTGTAACCACTAATATTATAATTGGCCTGCAGACCAGGTGTCAGTTGTGCCATTAAAACCAACTTCACTGCTTATGCCCAGAGGGTAAAGTTGGTTCTTGCTGAAAACTGATGTCTGGTCTAATGTGACATGGTAATTCATACTGTAAGAGAATCAAGAGATCTATCCAATGAGCCATGCAGAGCCATGTCAAATCGGAAGTTTGATTCACTAGAAATTATGAAATCACTTTTCCGATAACTTTTTTACTTAAGATTTAAGAGTCACTAAAACTTTTCTCATTGCGGGCTGCAGTGCCCATATTTGATTTTCGGGCGTTTTTCTAGTGAAATTTATTGAATCTAATGTGAAACTTTTACTTTGCAGTCATCTTGGCGCCTCTCTTTTCAATGGCAGAGATGAAGTCTATTATCAAGAGAGCCAGGGAGACCCTACAATCTTCTCCCACCTCCATGGAGAACTTGACGCACACTTAAAATGACCCTAAATTCAAGCCCCTGACCCTGACCCTAGTCTCAAACACGGAACGTAGATTCTACGATGGATGCGTTGGAACTTTGGCAGTGATTTTTTTGTTTCTCTAATTTTGTGGTGCCTGAGAACCCACATTTATTTGTGAACTTTGCGCCTGTTGTGCCAAGGCACCCTCCAAATTGTAAAGTTCCAGTAATTGGGTTCTTCAGCACCGGAGAGCATGGGAAGGTAGAGATAAGAAGTGTTGTGGTGTTCCTTTTCATTAGTATGGAATTGTCATCTCACACATTGACTCTATTATCTCTGTTGCAGGCTATTCCATTCATTTATGCTCTAATGGTCCTCATCGTATCTCAACTCCTTAAATGTTTTCAGGAAAGTTAACCTCAACTTTTCCCCAACATGTGTTGTCACAGAAGACAAACTGGTTCTGCAAAGCGCAGTAAAAACTGTGTGGCCGATAGCTACAATTTCTTACTCGTTATTCTTCTTCACCATATGGTGAGTGACAAATTTGTGTATGGTTATACCAGCCTGCTACAGGTGTTAATTTCTGGATTTCTTTTCTAGAGGCGTTGTTTGAAGAAATGAGGAACCTTAACATTACACCGATAGGCGACCGCTGCCTCACAACTGTCCGAAAGATTGTGGCAGCCGCACACCTTCCACCGGAGCATATTTAAAGTGCCATCACCCTGATAACAACGTCGAGCACTGGCACCATGTACAGTCTTTACTGGAGAGAGTGCTGTCGGATTGGATCGATAG